TGTTCCTCATACTAACTATCCGTTAGCACTGCACCATAGTGTTTGCACCCAACTCTGGGCTAAAGTTGCTTTCTTCTGGGAACATTTTCCCCACAACTTTAGCATGGCATATTCTACCATCAATGAGATACCTACTGTTCTCATACTTGGATCTGATGATCCTCCTCATACCTCATGGGGCCCATACACTTCAGTCCAAATGCTTCAACCAATCCCTTAGGACCATTCCCTGACTCCACTTGAGTCATCTAGCATTTTAGACTTTGCTAATCCAACGATCTGCGAGGTCTTAGTCTTCGAGGTGCCAACTCGCTGGAATACAACTTCTTGTATTCAGGTCCTACTCACAAGGACCATTTTTGCAAGTGTTATTCCGACACTTGATTTGTTCTCTTGGGGCAACCTCTTGCCCCTTAGGACCACTTGTCCATGTGATGAGAATACCAACTCATCCTCTGAGTACACCCCCAACTCCTTGGGTTGTTCCAGCATTTGTTAAAGGTAGCCCCGGCTACCATTTCAAGGACTTGTGTCCTCTTCTGTATTTGACCTCCCATGGTCATCAATTTTGGTCTCAATGTTATGAGCACCAGCCTCAACTATATGAGGGTAATCTTGTGACTCCTTTATTGTTTTGGAGTCTACATCTTTCCCGTGATCCCAACTATAGTTGTTTACCACAACTACGTTAGCCCGTTTGCTGCGTCAAACGCTCATTTGGATCACATCCTCAGCTCTCTGAGGAAACCTTATACTGTTCCCAAGATCCCAAAGTTGTTCCATTATTGGCCCTTTTCTATCCACCACATTGTGCCCAAGTTCACGCGTGAACTTGAGTGGAGAGCCATGTCCTCTCGACATGCTACTCCTCAAGGACAGGCCCACTCCTAGGACCTTTCGATGCCAACATCAATGGTGATATACTTGAGCACCAATAAAAGTCGGATTAAGGAACAGCTCCGATACCAAGTTGTAAGCGACTAATTTTTCCATTCTACTTTAGTCACTTAACCGCACCTTCGACCACTTGGAGGAGTCTCACTCATAACCTTCATAAGTCCCATTCAGGACTTGGGGCTTGCTAGCCCCGAGAATGCCATCTATGCCACTCAACCTTAGCACTTAGTCCAGGTGCTCCACGTGTCCGATCCCATGATCGACACCCCAAGGTACCACTGACGTATCAGCCCATTACGCTAAGGCCATGCCCATTTACCTTGGTCACACTAGTGGTCCAACACCACATGCATTGCAAAACCGTCTCTCAAAGACTGGGTCATCCGTCCATGAGTGATCATCCCAGATCCACTCTTTAACATCCTTAGGATGCCTACAAACATGGGGAATAGCCTTCCCCAATACCTCTTTTCCAGTCCTCACCAAGTCTCTTTCTGTCCATAGCCATGTTTGCCAACACTGTCACTGGGGCAAAGCCCATAGGCCCGACCACTTAGTCCCATGGTCCTCTGGGACTTCCTCACCATGTGATTATGTCCTTGGTCACCACACCAAAGGGCTACTCCTTTTCCTTTCCACAGTCTGGGACTTTGGGACACCATTTCGGAACACCGTGGCCCTACGCAGGCCTCATGGGTACTCTCCCCGCCTTTCGCCTTTAGGTGCTCTAGCCATGGGCTTAGAGCGAGGTTTCGTTGAGCCACGACAAGTATCCAAGTAGGTAGTGCCACCCACACTTGGACTGGAAGCATCGGCCAGTTGATCTCCCGGGGGAACTAGAGCCGGCTCTTGAACACTTCACCAAGCTATCCCACTTGTCGGTCCGTGTTCACTCTAGTCTTGGACTTCCCAATGGGCAGCTCATCACCCAACACTGGGTCCGGCCTTCCTGGGCCAAACTGGCTCCACTGTAGTCCTCCCCCTCACTATACTTTTGGAGCTCATCAAACCCCCTAGGGTCTGGGAGACGAACGCTTTGGGCTTTCACCCTCTCAGACTCGAGCTCAGACTTGGACTCAGACTCGGACTCAGACTCGGACTCGGATTCAGACTCGGACTCGGACTCGGTCTCGGTCCCGATCTCGGTCTCGGTCTCGGTCTTGGTCCCGGTCTCGGTCCCAGTCTCGGTCTCAACTTCGGACTCCATCTCGGGTCCATCTCGGACTCCATCTCGGACTCCATCTTAGACTTCATCTCGGACTCCATCTCGGACTCCATCTCGGGTCCATCTCGGACTCCATCTCGGATCTATCTTGGACTCCATCTCGGACTCCATCTCGGGTCCATCTCAGACTCCATCTCGGGTCCATCTCAGACTCCGTCTCGGACTCCACTTCGGACTCCACTTTAGACCCTAACTCGGGTCCATCTCAGACACTTCCACGTGTCATGTGTTGGTCCTTTTGGGTCCCTTTTTGGAGCCTCGCTTATTGCTCACTTCGTGCTCATTCCTTGAGCATTTCATTGGGAGTTCCACTCCCACTCTCGACCTTTTCAAATTGGAGTTTTTAGTCCAAATGTGTTATGCTCGTTTGGCTTTAGCTTCGGCCACTACCACATGGCACCCTTTCATCTCCACTTTGGGGCCTAGGGATTTTGTGTCTCACATTGACCTAGTTAGAAAAACTCATTCGTTGACTTGCACTTGTTAATGTTAAGAACTCCTGCGATATTGAGACTAATCCCTCAATATTCGCTAAATGATAGCTTACCATGTCTACCAAACACCTTCGCTATCATGCCTTTTGTGTTAGTCTCATTTCGGTTCCAAATGCTATTTATAGAAAGTGTCTAGATTTGCTCATTTGGCATATCTATAGAATGTAAACATTGGCCTGAACACAATAGTGTATGTCCTATGTCCAAATTCTCATTCTAAGGACATTCCATATTTAATAAGTTTCAAAGTTGTCCCAAAGACTAACTCATGGTAATAAGAGAGGCTTGGAGTGAAAGCCCAAGGCGTATGTCTTTAAGGGAGGGGAGGGGGTTGTGGGGGGTTCTAAATGTATAATAGAGATAGTGGTTGGAATGCATGTCTGACCACTTAAGATATTAGTTTGGCTCCCGCTGGGCTATGTCACTTTTTGTTCTGCGTCCAACTTGGGTCTAAGCCCAAGCTCCATATTGCTCTAGTCAGTGGGGTACCACCTCCTCGCGTTAGGCCACCGGTATGCCAAAATTATGCCAGACTCCATCTAACACCATTTTGCGTGCAAGTGTTGGATACAGGAAGCTAGTGCTCGTAGGATTGTACTAGACTCTCGTTTGTAGTGCAACGGGCTTGGAGTTCGACTTCAAATTCACGTGCGTTACAATAATCCTTTTCTCCACTTGTCAAATAGCTCATAATGTTTTATGAACTTTCTCTTCAATGATTTATGATTGTTCATCAAGAATTGTGATACTTATTGTGTGACTATTAAAATCAATGGTTCATCTGGAGCTATATTCTCACACAAGAACATTCGTTGTACTATATTTGGGTCTATGATTGTTGTTCACTATAAATCTAAAAGTGATATTTGATTGTTTGTTATAAATTATTTTTTGATTGCCACTTTTGTTTTGTTGAAATGAATGCACTCTTATTGATGTTGTTGCACAAATAATATTCAATGCATCCTCCTTTTTGTGCTTGTCATAGTTTTTAGGAGTTTTTTTATGTTTGCTTAACAACTCTCAAAATCCTAGGCTTGTCTCTATAACTTTTCTATTAAGGAATGTTTAATATTGTAGCACATGTGATCATGGGATGAAATTTGGATATACTGTCACTGTGAATTCTTGGAACTTTAGGGGATAAATGGGGATAAAATAGCCACTAAGGGCTATCTCATTAAGCAATTATCCTTTTTCTAGTTGGTTTAAAAAGTGTGCTTTATGTGGTATCAAAGTAAATGGCACAAGTTTGATTCCTATTGATTAGTGGCAACTTAAAATATAATATATACTTGAACAAGGTATATTTCTACCTCTAAATTTGAAATCTATACTTCTACCCCTTAATTTGAAATCATATGTATTAGGCATCCATGCTTACAAAAGTATCCACCCTAGGATGACTAATTGCCTTATATGAAATAACTAGTCTACACAAAGGAAAATTCAATGTGGAAATAGAGGCTCAATAGGGTGCACTACAAATATGTTGTGATTTGCATGAAAGCCTCACATAAATCATTACAACAAGTATATAAAGATGTTTTTGCTTTGAATTTTTTGCTCGCCAACCAACTTGCATGTTTCATCTCAAAATAATTTGTGTTTGAGATGAATGCCAATTCAATATCTGATTTACTCTACAACACATTTATAACTGAATATTAACATACAAAATTTTGTACCAAGTGAATGAAATTCCCCCATCTTGCAATATGTGAATGCCACCAACCAATCTAGGAAGAAAATATTCTTTATTTTTCATGTCAACCTTCCCCTCCCACCATTTTAAAATCTTGTTAAAGTATTTTGTGATCTCATTTTTTATGGTCACTAACCTTTAGTTTTTACATAATTCAATATGTGATGATTGATATTCAATTAAAATATATTTTTAATGTGAATTTGGAGACTTTGTTTAAAGTGAAAAACATAAAAGTACTCCTTTTCAAAGCATGGTTCACCTTTGAAGTAAATTTTATAAATTGCATTTCAATTTTCACTGAAGTAAATATTGATATATTTCTAGTTTTTTGCTAATAAATATTATTAAGTATTGTCAGAATAATTTTTGCAATGTACTATTTTCTTGTTTGAACTCACAAGTGACAATAATGAGAACTTTCTTAATCTTGTAAAAATTATTCAATATCTAATATTTCATATTCATGTTAAACAATTTACTTGTGATTGTACACATGTGCTCTAATAGTTGCCCATTTAATAGTTCTATGCACAAAATTGAAATATACTCAAGAGTGTTATAATTTTTGTCTAAATTGTGTATGTAATATAAAGTCCACTCCACTTCCTAGTTTTTAACATCTAGTGCTAAAGCTTATTCAACTCCTAATAAAGATTACCATTCTTTGATAATAACATTATACTAAATCCTGAAACATTACGAGCGAATGAATCCAACGGCATGGGCACTCCGAAGTTCACACCAAGCAAGGCACCACGCATTGGAGATGTTTTTTCATTAACATTGTTATATTGAAACATTATTAGTTAACTGGATCATGTAGTTGAACTAAAAAAAAAAGTTCAAAAAGTTAAATTTCACATGTTAAGCCAAATACTAAATGCTTCTAAATTCATCTTTATAAAGACATAATTGTTACTGAATTTTTATATACCCCTAGTAATATATGGTTAAAGGCAAAATATTTAAATAATAATAAAGTTGGATACTTACCTTCTTGTCATGGTCAAGCTCTTAGATAAATTTCTATAACACCTCAGACTCATTGAATAATTTTTTTGAAGTGTTTCCTTGAGCAATGTATTTTGAATATTTTTTGGGCCTTGCATTGTGCCCTGATTATTTTCATTTGTTCAATGTTCTTTTGGCTTGAGCAAACTGGCACCCAGATGCTGGTGGCTCCGGTCACTCGAAATCCAAGCTTATGGGGCTTTCCATCGGCTAGAACAGGAGCAAACGCGTCCAAGATGACGTCGTAGCCAGGAGAGTTCAAGGCACCGATGGATCCAACAGACTCCCAGTAGGATGCATTGATCCCAGCGCTGTAGATCACCGGGCTCGGCCAGATCGCGTCCACCACAGCACCGTCGAGAATGACCACCAACTCTCGCATCTCCGGGGAGCTTCCCTTCTTGTACCAAAACTCGTCGTCACCATGCGAGGAAACGAAGACCTGCAAGCGAGCACTGACGACGGTCGGAGGGTCACCATGGCGGAGGATTCCTGATCGTTTTGGAATACGAACCAAAGCCCGGTGGAGTTGGAGGGTGGTGGATGGATCGGGAGAACAGCGAGGGGCGGGAACAAACCGGCCGATGTTCCTGCCAGGGGTGAGAAGAATCGGCGACTTCCGCGAGCTTGATCGATAATTTCGGCTGTGGATTCCTTGAACAAGTAGAAGTTGGCTGTGACGCTAATTCTGTAGGAAGATTTCGTCGATGGCAGTGACGAGTTCGTGGAGGAGGAGGCGGTGACATCCAAGAAGATGAGCGAGAGATTTGAGCTGGATAGAAAGAGAGATTCGAAACTGGTGGCGTCCCTTTGGATCGTCCAGTTTGTCCCCTCCGGTGTCGGGAGAGGGGTGCTCGCGTGGAGGATCTGAGCGCCACCCAGCCACACTCCACCGATTTTTTGCTCCTTGGACGATCCCTTGCAAAAACCGGTGAGCTCGAGGACGATCTTGGTCCAAGCGCTCCCGCATTGGGTGGAAGGCGCGTAGCTAGTCTGGATGGAAACGTTCTTCGTGTGAGAAACCATGATGAGAAACTCACCTCGATCAGCGGAGAAGCTCCCGAGAACTCGGCATTGACGAGGGGGTGAGCGCATTTGACAGCGTCCTTTGGGATGTCGATCGGCTGGACAATATCGCTCACCACCGATCCGTCGATCATCACTCCTGCCAAGATCACACACAGCGCAAGCGCAGCCACGAGAAACTCCATTGGGTGCTCAAATCTGCCTCTCTCGATCGCCAGCCCACCTTTTAAACATGGTCATTTGGCAAAGAGGTCGCCACTATGAGCAAATTGACTATTTCGTTTAGAGTTTTTCGTTCGATGATAGGATCAATGCGAGGTATGGATGTCGTGTGGGGTGATGTTTTCTCATTTTCATTGGCGTTTGTCCTTCTCTGCGGGCATTTATAATAATTCTTCTGACGTTGCTTCGTGAGAAAACATTGAGAAGAATGGTTTACGAGGAGGAGGCGAGTATGGATGTCTCTCGAAACTTGCGAGAATTTGTTTTTAAGCTTATGAACACTTGGGCTGAGGTTAGATCTGCTTTGCTTTGTGAGAAAACATTGAAAAGCTTCAGGAGGTACCGGAGGAGGCGATCTTGGAGCTGACGCAAATGGGGAGATGAAGCCTGTGTCCCCGATCGCCATCCAGGAGGAGCTCCCCAAAACTGGGAGCCGAGGAGGTGACCAGAGCCTTGAGAGTGAGCGTCAACTTGACCAATTGTCCACCGCGCACGGAGAAACTCGATGGTTTTACCGTCACTGAGACCCCGGCGGGGACGACCAATGTAGCATTGTAAGCCTCGTCCCTCTCGCTCACGCTTGTCGCGATTCTCACCACAGATCTGGCGCCATTGAGGCTCGCGATACTCACGTATGGAGTGTTAAGGTCCGAGGCAAAGCTGGAAGAAATGCTGGCGGCAGCGGTGGTGTTTGAGGAGGACGAAGAGGGTGACGATGGCGATGACAAGCAAGACGATCCAGTCGCGGCTGACACTGTCGAGTTGCTGAGAGCCGGAATGGAGCACAAGAACTGGATGTAGTCTTGGAATCCTGGCAGCAAAAACACCTTAGTCGAGACGAACGCGATCGAATAGAAAAACTCACCGGCATCGAAGATCAAGCCAGGATCAATCGCCGCTGCGGGATTCACAAAACCGGCTCCAAAGTCGAATGGGGTGGCCGGGCCGAGAATGGAGTCGACATTGCTCGAGGGGTGCTGTGCGAGTAGTGGCTGGCCATTGGAGTCGAGAGTGAGAGCGGTGGTGGACATGGCCGACGCGATCCCGGCGGGGCTGAGCGACGGGAAGCGCTGCTTGACGAGCGCCGCGATGCCGGCGATGTGGGGCGTGGCCATGCTCGTCCCGGAGATGAGCGCAAACTCCTGGCCTTCGAACTCCCGCTCGTCGCTCCCGATCGAGGACCACGCCGCCCAGATGAGGTTCCCGGGAGCCAGGATGTTGGGCTTGAGCACATCAGCCACGTCCAGGTTGTTGCTATTCACGTCCGGGCCCCGGGACGAGTACGTCGCCACCTTTGGTGCCGAGAAGCTGAAAAGAGCTTCGCGGCCTCCTGCTATGGTGGCCATGGCAGCGGAACTCGAGAGCCTGCCTGACTCGTCTCTTCTCGTGGATGTGTTGTAGTAGTGGAGCAGCACCTGGCGGCAAATGCAGTGAGATAGTTAAGATCCAAGAAAGGTGGCAGATGAACTTTACCGCGGAGTCTTTGGAGCTGGGGATGATGATCGCCGGGAAGCCGATCGGGGACGGCGGGAAGCTGTGGCCGTCGAGGTCGGGCGTGGCCAGAAACACGAGCCCGGACGCTCTGAGCTCCTGCGCGGCCGCAACCGCGTCGGCCAGCGTCGACACCCCGAACAGATACCGCAGGCTGTAGCTGCACACGAGAATCCTGCCGCTGACGAGCGACCTGTTGTAGTTCCCGGCGTCCTGGCACTCGTCGACAACGATCCTGGACACATTCCCATTGGTGGCATCTGCTGCGGTGATAAGGCTGAAGCTGCCATTTGTCCCGGCTGCAAACAACACCCAGAAAGCCTCACATTACATCAGCTGGCAAGCATGGCACGTCAACGGAGCAGCTGGCGGGCACAAAAAAGTTGGCGGAGGGGCAAGATAACGACGAGGAAAGTCACAGAAGGCAGTACACTTGCGTGTATCTTACATGCGAGGCCGGTTCCCGTGATGGTGATGTTGCTCCCGAGGGTGATGGCGTTTGGGTAGGTCCTGTCGTGGGTGGCCGCCGCTACGGAGAATATCCAGGGGCTGAAGGACAGGCTGGTCCGGGGATACGGTCCCCCGTTTCCAACAGCCTGGGTCACAAACACGCCCGCCTTGACGGCCGACAGCAGCGCCAGGTCGAAGGTGCTCATGAATGTCAAGTTCCGGCGTGGGAGCCCGTTGGGCCCGACTGAAAGGCTCAGCACGTCCACTCCATCGGCAACAGCCTGATCGATCACACAAAGCAATGTGACGAGAAATGGAGGAAAACGAACGAGGCAGGAGAACGACCAAAGTTGAAGGAAACAAAGAAACCGAAGGAAAACTCGTGAGCTTGCAAGTTGCTATAGCGAGCGAGCTTACTTGATCGATGGCGGCGACCACGTCTGCGAAGAAGCCTCCAATGTATCGGTAGAGCGCCTTGTACACCGCGATTCTGTATGAAAGCCCGGGATGTTTAAGTCGTTCTTTCTTCGCTCGACTTACTTTGCCGCGGGTGCCATGCCACTGGAGCTCCCAAAGTTGAAGCCATTGACGACAACCGAGACGCCGCTATTCCCAGCAGCAGTAGCAGCAGTGTGGCTGATGAAGAGAAGAAAGAGTGCGATGATCAAGTGATATGTGATCATAGAGCACAAACTTACGTTCCATGTCCATCTCCATCCAGGGGCGACGCGTAGTGAACGCTGGCGTTGAACTCCCCGGAAGCAATCGCGGCCTGCGCAAAGTGCCGGGCTCCAACAATCTTCCCTGAGCAGGAGCCTTGCGGGAATTCGTCCGCAACTTCGCATTTCCCAGTGTACTTTCCCGGACTACTGGAAGATGAGTTCGTGGAAGACGAAGAGGATTTGAAGCTCTGGTGGGAGGGGTCAATGCCGGTGTCGACGATTCCAATCACCACTCCCTGCCCAGCATTCGCGACGCCTCCCAGCTTTGGCCAGCACTTCCCGGGCAGTCCCATGTACTCCGGGGTATGAGTGGTCATCGTCTGGACTCGCTCGTCTCGCTCGACGTGGACAACGTCGTCCATTCTCTCCAGCCGCGCTGCCTTTGATCAGGAGAGAGTTTTACCGCCTTCGATCGCTGGGATGACATGAGTTTCTTACCTGTGTTTCAGTCAGCTCCACCGCGAATCCATTGATCAAGTGGTGATAGCTGTAGAGCTTCCGGTAGCTCTTCTCACCTGGAAAGGCCTTGGCGAGAAGCTCGTCATGCCGCGCGACGAGCAGCGAGGCGTAATTCTTGTCCTCGTCACTGCAAAAACAAAAGCTCTGTGATGCATCCGCAAGGAAAACCAATCTTAGCAACCAAAGCTTTCTTATTCACGTTCCATCGAGAAAGATTGTTTCGATCGCTATACCTGAGAGCATTGTTGATTCTTTGCTCGCTCGATGTCGCAGGAAATCCAGGAATGCCTCCTTGATAATGAACGACCGGCCTCCCTCTCACAACCACCAGGTAAACCTTCCTCTCGTTACTCTCGTTACGCTCGTACTCGTGCTTTAAATGCTCTCGTTCTAGAATGCCGATGGCTGGAGGGACAAGAGTAACGAGAAAGAGTAGCGGCAGCAGCAGCTCTCGAGGAGCTCCCATGATATCAGCAAAAAGAGAGGAAAAAGAGATGGATCAAATCGTGAGACTAGAGCACGAGCAAATTCCCGCGATTTAAACTTCCTACGGAGGCATCGTATGTGACAATCGCCATAGTTTTATGGTGGTGCTGGTTCCACTGAGGCAGAAAAAATGGAAAGGAAAGCTCCACTATGACTAGCACCGGGAAGAGCATTGAATGAGAGAAGAGGAATATATATACAGGAATGGATAGATGGATGGAGCAATCGCGAGCGATCGGAGTCGAGACCGGTGTACACTGATCTTAATGAATATATGAGAGAGAGAGAGAGAGAGAGAGATCTTCTCACTCCCTATCGCTGTCCTCCTTTCTCGTCTGACTGTGCGCGCGGGTCTATTAATCCAACAACAACAAGAACAGGGGAAGGAGTGACACACGCACAGCTTTTGAGGGGATTGTCGCTTTTGGTTCGGACAAATCGATTCCAGGAGCAAAAGGCTTTCGGCCAATTTGATTAGATCGATCCATTATCTCGGAAATGGAGGGAGAGGAACATGGAATCATCTTGGCATTTCGCCTTTCAAAATCTGATCTATCGCAGAGAGAATAAAAAGAAAGAAATCTTGACTGAGAAGCCAGAGCTTTTCTTTCAGACCCGTGCTTGGCCGGTCCTGCCCAAACTCTGCCATGACAAAGAAACACCAGCCATAGCCAACAGAGAGAGAATAGGATATGGATATCAAAGAAAATCAAAGAAAAGAGCGAGAGAGAGAGAGAAAGTAAACTATAAGATTGAAAGGAATGTCGGCTGAAAACAATTCCCATTTGATCATTCACTATAGAGGAGAGATCTTTGTTCTATCTCCTAGGATTTCGAATCACGAATTATTCGTGGCCCTTTGGGCTGTGGAAAAGATCACGCAAAACAAAGACGCGCGCTCGAATCCATCGCTCGTACCAATGCAGAGAAGAAAAACCACCATGTAGAAAAAAGAGAGGAGCGCTCATTCCAATTGGTACCACCCAGATTTGTCAAAGAGCACGATGTCCGAGAACCCTAAACAGGGGACTCTGTTTTTAGGGCTTACTTGGCAAGGCCATGTCCCAGCCGTCCGATGCCCAGTCGTCTTCCAGCGCGTGCTTGCGAGAGGCGGCGATGGAATGAGTATAACCAAACACTCCCGGACACATACCATCATCTCACTCTCTGGAAGAAAAATCCTTACAAGATCTACAGCCAAGGAGAGAAAAAAAAATACCACTTTGATTTCGATCCTTGGGAGGCAAGAAGAAAAAATTAGTTTTCCTCCTCCCAAGTGTACATGGTAAACTTTGCATTCTTTCGCCTTGGAACGAACTCTTGAAAGGAAACTTGGAAACTTCTCTTAGAACTCGAACGGCTTGTAGCGCCTGGACGAGCTGATGATTCCCTGTACCGACCCCACGGCCGCGGACAGCGAGACGAGGAAGCATACAAAGCTCAAGCTCTGGAGCGCCATAGCCTTGCACGACCACCTCCGCACGCCCGACTGCTTCGAGTACATCTCCACCGGGAAGTAGACGGTGAGCGGCCAGAAGGTGATGGCTCCAACCAGGCCGATGACGGCGTTGAAAAACGGGAACACAAGCGAGACAATGGTCGTGAAGAGCACGAACAAGGTCCGCCAGAACAGCTTGAAGATGGTGAACCTGAAAACTCCAATCCTCGGGGTGAGCACCGTTACGGAGTATTCCCTGTTTACGAGGCTCGACTTTGGCCACTTCTGGGAGGCGTACCATTCCCCCAGCGCGAACACTGGTTGAGCATATACCTGTCAAGTCGGGAGAGCGTGTTAGAAAAAGGAATTTGTTCTCCAGCTTTGAAAGCCAGGAAAGCTGAAGTTAACGTTACCTGATAGCCGCCGACGAGATGGATGATGATGCAGATGTTCGCAAAGTCGACAAGCCAGAACAACTTGCTGTGCGCGAATCCGGTCAAGAGATTTCCCGGAGCATCGTTTCCAAAAGCTGCGTAGCCGACGCAGCCGACAGCCATGTAGAATATGGTGGTGACGAGAACACCGATTGACGTAGCTCTCTTCATGCTTACGTTCTCGGATGGGGGCGACTTGAGTGTATCCTGTCAGACAATCAATCAAACCCACTTGAGTTCGAAAGGAAAAAAATGCTCTGACTGAACACAAATACTTGAATCTCGATAAGGATGGATGAGAACGAGTAAGCAAAAGCAATATTCCCAAGCGCCTGGAGTATACCCCAGACTTTATCAGCTGAGCTGACAGAGTGCGGTCCAGGTCCAATGCCAATCCCAAATGCGGTACCTTGAGTTCCATCTGAATCACGAAAACATGAGTAAAGAATCAGCGCAAACGTGCTTCGCTCTACTTACGTACTGCTTGACCAGCGCTGAGACCCAGCCCGACAAACGAATACGAAAAAGACATGATCGACGCGACGATGGAAAGCCACCAAATCTGGTGTATGTCTGGTATCTGCGAGAAGAGGAGCTGAGCAGCTCCGAAAACGAGCAAGTACCTCCCGTCATGGATGTTGCACGATGATGGATTGCTTAGGTGCCGGTTATGGCGTAAACAGTGACCTTTGCTAATCGCCACCATGCTCTTCCCAGAAGTTATGGTGTATCCAATAGTAGCACCGATGAGATTGCCATACTGGGCGAGACCGCAAAACCATTCTTGCCTGCCACCTAGAAGCACAACCAAGAGAAGAAAAAAAGTTACTTGGGAACAAAAGAACTATAGAACTTCAAGCTCACCCAAGATGTTCTTGACGGCATCAATGTAGGTAGTGTTCCTTTTCCCAAAGGCCGGGTCTGGGCTCCTGTAGCAATCCGCGAGGAGCAAAGACGCATAGAAGGTCACGATGGAAAAAATAAATAGAATAGCTGGGCCGGGAACCCATCCAAACTGGGCGATGCTCCATGCAAGGGACAACACTCCGGATCCAATCACGGCAGTAATTACATGAGCGGAGGCAGTGCAAACGTTCCCTGCGCAGAAAGCCCAGATCTTTAGACCTCGCCATGCAAAGCCCAAAGAAAAAAAAATGGAAGTTATGCGAAAACTAAAGGAAAAACCCTTTCTTGCTCGCTCGATCCCCATACCTGTGCGCTCCACTTGTTTCTCGCTGCCTCCGGCGCCGCCATGGAATCGCATGTCGATGCTGGCCTCGGCGCCATTCGGGAGAGAAGAATCCAGCCCCGCGGTCATGTTGCTGCTGCTAGAATCCACTGTGCCGCGGAATGGGAACTACTTTCGATCGATCGCTGGCCTAGTTCCCTCAGAATAGCGCGCTCGCGGCGGAATCTAGCTCCCCTCCCATTCTTTCTCCTCCCTAAAATAAGCGGCAGCCCTAAAATCACACACTTTCTTGGAGTTTGAAAGATATATGGGAGGGAATGATGAAAGCCCGGCGTAACCGCCACGTGTCATCACACAACTGGTGACGAGTACACGCCCCGCATGACGTGGCGCGATCGAGGCCGTTAAAGACCCATGCATAACTGTCACGCCTTTCCCTTTCCATGTCATGAGGACGCGAAAGCCTTTTGTTTCCATCCGACGGTTGGGCTCTTGCCAGCTAGGAAAATAGAATGCCCCGTCAGCACGGCTTGACTTGACTAGAATGGACTCGAGTCCATTATCGCCACTTGCAAAGATTATTCCACCCTTACATTGTTGCGACGTTTTTTACTAGAATAAAAGGAAGTGAAAATAGTTTATAAGGAATCCCACTATCATAGAAAAGGTGGAAACGTGATCGAAAACCATAGAGATGGGGCGGATTCCATTAGACCAGTCCCAAGAAACGTGTAACATAGGTAACAACAGAGTGAATCTTGGTAACGTGTAATCTTGGTGGGATCACACTTCCGGATCGGAAGACCGGAATGTTTTTATCGAGATCTCTCATTCGATGATCATGCAACGCGGAAAAGGTACCTGGAAGAATGTCAGCTTTGATTCTTCTCAATCTAGACCTCTAAGTTCGTCGAAGAAGCTCCGCCCAAAACTCACACGCTAAAATCATATGAAAATTTTGCTTTTTTTTTCGAGGTTGCAAAAGATCTTGGAAGAGCTTCGTCAATCACTAGATTCAGTTCATGAGCAAATCGTGCCCGACGGAAGAATCGATTGGATGATCAAGCCGAGATAAAGTCAAGCAAGGTCTGCTCCACGCCAAGACGTGCTGCGGCGGTGGATTTGCGCGAACGACCTTTACGACTGGTCTAAAAGTTGCGAGTGCTCCCGAAGAGAACCAATCAATCAATCACCAATGGATCGATCCACTGGGATGAAAACGCCATGGTTCTAAGATCGAGGCGAAGTTTACACTACCTGCTTCTTCCTTTTCTAGATCTTTTCCCTTTGGGCAGCTTTGTTTGAAGGAATCTACGCAGCCGACGACGGAAGAGCACGGTCGAAAACTTTTTCTGTGAGTAAAAAATTCCATTGATCCGCTTGTCCAAGATGCCCTGGGACACAAACACCACGGAGAGAATGACAAGTTTCACGAGAGAGAGAGACAGAGGCACAGAGAGAGAGAGAGAGAGAGAGAGAAACTGATCCTCTCTCTCTTTTGTCAAGCAAGGAGCTGGAAATTTGGCATCTGGCACTGTACGGTCACACAGTGTCGAGGGAGAACACTAAAGAACACACCTTCTTTTCTAAAAAGAATGTGGATTTCCCCGACTATTGACTTGATTGACAAGAGATTTTGTGTCCAGAAGCTTCAGATGGATCGGTCCTTGTTGGCCATGGTTTAGGTTATTTCTTTGCCAACTTTAAGAGTTTTTTGGAGCTCGGAGCTATGATTCAAGCCACCATGCCCGAAAAGATTGGAGGTCACGGTTCGTTTGCGGTTGCCTTTGGGAACACTTGAAATTCGAAGTGCTCATTTGTCTCCTATTCTTCCACGATGATTCTCGAAACCATCTAAGCAAAGATAATCAGAGCTACCACCCAAAAAGACGAGTCCACTTGGGACGGTGGTGGAATTTCCCCTCGTTTGTTTTCAAGCAAAACTATAACTCTCTCTCTCTCTCTCTCTCTCTTCCACACACTCTCCAGCGGTGCTCCCAAAAGCTGGGAGCCAGATTCGCAACACCTATGTAAATATTCGCGAACTTGCGAATATGAGATTTGCATTCTAGAGCTTTTGAGTTGATTCTCTTCTCTCTCTAGGACGATACTTTTTTATGCCTGCCACGGGTTGACGACGTGTCGAGCCCTATTCTTGTCACAGAATGCTAGTCTTGTGCCACATTGTTACAAAGAGTCAAGGAATTCTTCCGTAAGATAACCTAGAGCGTCTCCAACGGGCACGCGAATATTTTAGCGAATCTGGCAGATGCCTCGTTCAATGCGACGGGGGGGCATTATTGAGGGCCCCAAAATTAGGGGCGGCCGATGAATTAAATGTGATCAAATCAAACGCCACCCATGAGTGCCCAGTCGCGGCATTTTGGGAGGCTCGCTCTTTGAAAATCCGCCCGCCAATCAGGCGCCCGCCGTACGCAGCTGCTACCGTACATGACCGACACCATCCTGCCGTACGCTTTCGTACTCTTCTTCCTCCCCTCTGATGGGTTTTTCTTTGTTTCCAAGAGGCTTCCCGAGTGAATGGATTTGGACGGATGGATTCCATCGCGTCTTATTAGCAACAGTGGCGAAGCTTTCCTTTCTCTTAGCGTGCTTGATTGATCTCACCTGGGCGTATCCTAGTATAAAAACCCATTGCCCGCCCAGGCCGGAGATAGCAAAGAAGGGAGAGAACTTATTAGAGAAAGAAGAGGAGAGAATCGCCATCGCATTGTCTCGAGTCTTGGTCGAAAGATCTTTGCAGCACAGCACGCGGAAAGTGTGTGGAACTGGATGATCGATTTGGGCTTTTCATGTGATTCCATCGCTTGCTTGCTTGCTTGCTTGCTTCCTCACCCATTCCCTGTGTCTTTCGCGAGGAGGCCCAAGAACCCATCGCCTCCTCTCTTTACTCCTACCAATCTCGCATTGATACTGCTGCTTCTATCCTTGCGTGATCCCGCGTGAATCCAGCTAAAGCCTTTTTGGAAAAGATCTGCCTCGCATAGATTTCCTTGTCTCTTCTCCACCGCCCAAGAACGATCGAGTCGAGAGCCCCCAAGAAAACCAAGAAAACAAGGAAAGAAACGAGCAATGGCTGTTGGAATGTTTCCTCCTTCGGACGATGAGAGAATCTCCTACGCTGAGAATGGTCACAAGCTCGGATCTTTGGAGCTCCAGCAGCAGCAGAAAAACGTCGACGACGATGGACGTCCATGCCGCACAGGTGGAGAATCCATCCTCCCTGTTCTTCTTGCTCCTCTTTCCTGCTGTTCTTCTCTTTCCTGTCAATCCCTTCCATCACTTCCGTTGTCGGCGATCAATCCCCTCCTCTTTTTGTTTCTTCCTCGCTGAAAAGAAAAGTTCTTCGTTCTCGGCGACTCATGAAGATCTTTCGTTTGTTTCCTTGTGTCTTCTTCCAGGAACTGTGTGGACAGCCTCGGCCCATGTCGTGACCGCCGTCATCGGCAGCGGAGTTTTGTCCCTGGCGTGGAGCATGGCCCAAATTGGCTGGATCGCTGGCCCCGTTGTGCTGCTCATCTTCGCCGCCATCACCTTCTTCACGTCGCTGCTGCTCACGGATTGCTACCGCTCTCCGGACCCCGTCACCGGCAAGCGAAACTACAGATACAAGGACGCCGTCAAAGCCAACCTCGGTGAGATTCTACTCGAAGACCGTACCTCGTTCATGCTCCCCGACTTAAATGCCTGTTGTTGTGTTGGCTCCTCCAGGTGAGATCCAGCTCTGGTGCTGCGCGCTTGTCCAGTACAGCAACTTGATGGGAACGGCCATCGGTTACACCATCACTGCCTCGATAAGTATGGTGTAAGTTTCCGAAACTCCTCCACCAAAATTGTTTGTTGTTTCGTTCTTCTCGCAAAGTTGGCTGACTCTTGCTGTTGCTCCCAGGGCCATCAATCGATCCGACTGCTTCCACGCCAAGGGCCACAATGGCGTCTGCAACACCTCCAACAATCTCTACATGGCTCTGTTTGGAGTGGTTCAGCTGATGCTGTCACAGATCCCAAACTTCCACAAGCTCTGGTGGCTGTCCATCGTCGCGGCCGTTATGTCGTTTTCGTACTCCGGGATCGGCCTGGGACTCGGCATCAGCAAGATCATCGGTGCGTGGTTCGGTCCTCCTTCTTGCTCTGTTTTTCATAGCCTTCCTTGTTTTCTCTTTTGTCTTCGCCCCGTTCTGGTCGATGAATCTTCTAACGTCGTCGTCGTCGTCGTTGCCTCTTGGAATCGCAGAGAATGGCCATCTCTTGGGATCAGCAACCGGCCTCCCCATTGGTTTGACTCTCGGCAGTGTAACACCCGCCAGGAAAGTCTGGAGAGTCTTCCAGGCCCTTGGCAACATCGCGTTTGCATATTCTTTCTCCACCGTTCTCATCGAAATCCAGGTACCGCCAACTTCAAACCATCGCAAAAGTAAATGTTCGAGAGCTCATTCCTTGTGGCCTTTGTTTGAAAACTCCCAGGACACCATCAAGTCGCCACCAGCCGAGAACAAAACGATGAAGAAGGCAACGCTGATTGGGATCATCACCACCACCACCTTCTACTTGTCGGTCGGATGCTTCGGCTACGGTGCCTTTGGAAATGATGCTCCGGGCAATCTTCTCACCGGCTTCGGCTTCTACGACCCTTACTGGCTCGTCGACTTTGCAAATGCCTGCATCGTTGTCCATCTCGTCGGAGCTTATCAGGTAGGCTTTTGATCGATCGTTTGGCTGTCTTAACGGCGTATGTCGCGCCGAAACGTTACAGGTCTTCAGTCAGCCACTGTTTGAGTTTGTGGAGTCGACTGCTGCGAACAAGTGGCCAAAATCAGGCTGCATCCACACTGAGCACGCCATCCGAATCCCGTTCGTGGGAACCTGGCGAGTTAACGTCTTCCGGCTCCTGTGGAGAACCATGTACGTCATCTTCACCACCATTGCTGCAATGCTGCTTCCCTTCTTCAACGACATCGTCGGTTTGATCGGTGCTGCTGGATTCTGGCCGCTCACTGTCTACTTCCCCATCGAGATGTTCATCAAGCAAAAGCGGATCGAGAGCTGGTCCTGGTCCTGGGTTGCTTTGAAGACCATCAGTGCAGCCTGCCTGATGATATCCATCGCTGCCGGGATCGGCTCCATCGAAGGTATTCTCCATAGCCTCAAAAAGTACACGCCGTTCAAGACCACGTACGATTGATTGGAAGCGCGAACTGATTGAAGCTGATCGATACTGTATCATACTCTCGCACAGCAGTCTTTAGCAAGAACTGCAGAAGCACACGAAAGAAAAAGTCACAAAGAATTTTGAAGCTCTGGAAGAAATGTCCTAGCTACATGGTGTGTTTATGTAATATCAAATGCTCGCAATTTACCTCAAAAGTCTCCCTGGAAAGTTTTAGCCCGGTTGAAAAATCCCGAAAAGCCTGAGAAGAAAAACAAAAGCTCGAGGCACAGCTAATTTTAAAAAAGAGTTGCCTACCTTTGAAGGACTAGGACCACCGGTTACGAACATGCGCCTCACTTCTCAGGAATCTTTGGCAACAGTGACGAGCATTTTCGGTCCTTCCATACACGGCACTGTTTTGGAACAGGAACACGGGACCACCACCACCATTGATCCACCATTTGATATTCAACTTCGGCGAAGTAGCATTGACAAAGGGAACTGCACCAGTAGCATCATTCAGCAAACGTCTGCCTGCATCCACAAGCAGACCACAAAACAGTGTTAATGCAAGCAAGGTGAGAATGAGCACTTAGACATTTTTCAATTGGAGAAAACGTACCTGAAGGTTGACACCTGACTGATCCATTATTGAAATGATCTGACCCTGTTCAGTTCTGAAATTCAGAACCTGACGCGATCGACAAAAGAACACACCCATTGCTTAAGTTAGTAGTCAACCAAGGCAAGATAAAACATACGTACCGTGTAAGGAATCGAGCCACTTGCAAGTAACCTGGAACTCAAGCATTACCTACCATGGCCTTGTTCCAACAAGTATGATTATTCATTTGCAAATGCGAAAACAAATCCCACTAAAACTCTAGTCTGTCACATGATTGAATAACCTGGACCACCAGCACCTTCGGGCGTTGTCCATTTTATGTTTTGTGGTGGATCCTTTATGTCACAGGCCTGACGTGTCAAAAGTAAGAAAAAGCACGATACCTACTATGAAACTAACGTCTCCCATACCTTACAGTGCAGGCAGTTCTGGGCATTTATCTGAAGTGTGAGCTTCTCATTCTCATCAGGAATGTACCTACAAACGCCACGGGTAACTTTTCTGATAACTCATGAAACTTGCGCTTACTCGTAGACTCGCGCTGGACAATAGCGCGATTCCAGTCCTGCATAGTCTATCAAATTCACTTTCTCCGGGATCGAGGGGTCCCGGAGAAGAAGGTGCGAAGGCTGATCGTGTTCATGATTTGTGTTACTTCTAGAAGATGAGCCAAACAGTCAGAACACAGCTCCTGAAGTTGAAAAATAGGTGGACTGCACCTGTATAGTGATGTCAGAAGATCAAAAGAGATCACACCGTCCGGCTTGGGATAGTCTATAGGCTTGTGCTTCTTGCTAACCTGGACAACAGATGCATAACACTAGAAACACTTGATAACACAGCTAAATACCTCAGTGGATAAATGATCGGGTCTTCCATGCTTCAAAGTATATGGAAGTTTGCCTTTGGAAATGTAACTGCAAATTCGAAGAATGAGAACTGTGGAAGCAAATCGAAAAAGCTTACTGCTCAAAAGCTGAAACTGCTAGACCTGGGAGCAAACCATAATGGAAAGCCTGTTACAAACTTAGGATTAGATTGGTTGTAAGTGAAAAGAATGAGGACAAACCGGTCTTATGTTACGTGCCGCGTTTAACTCATCCCATATCCATGAGTTTTGTAGACGCTCCCAATAACTATCCAGCTTTGCAGGTTCACTACCTTTTGCTAGTTGTTCGAAAGCTGTCTCTGCAGCTAGCAATCCTACAGAGAGAAACTTGAAAATGCCAGTTTAGTGACACGAATGTACCTGATTTCATAGCCGTATGGGCGCCCTTTATTTTTGGAACATTGACGAATCCCGCTGAACAGCCAATGAGTGCTCCACCCGGAAACACAGTTTTTGGAATGGACTATGAAAAAACGATGAACGCCATGGGCTTGTCAAGAATTTTAATGTACCTGAAAGCCACCTTCATTTAGTGTTCGGGCTCCATATTGCACAACTTTGCCACCTTCAAGCATCGGCCTTATGGACGGGTGCTGTTTAAATCTCTATAAATTCTAAGATCAGATTTTGCAGAAGTAGATACTGAACATATTTCTCACCTGATATTCTTCGTAGGGCGAAAGATATGGATTTTGATAGTCCAACGCAACAACCAGGCCCACTGCAACCTGCCTTGATTCTCTAAGCTTAGTTAAAGCACGTAAGAACTTGAACTTACTTGCCGATTTGCCATATGATACAGAAACGAGCCCCCGTACGTCTTTGTGTTGAGAGGCCAGCCAACTGTATGAAGGACAAAACCAGGACGATGTTTTGATTCCTCGACCTCCCAAACCTGCTTGTAAGCGTAAAACTTTGCAGTGGAGCTTATCATATACCTCCTTAATCCCAAGAGCGTACGTTTGATGCTGGGCACCTGATTGCTTCCTAAGTTGGTACTTGCGAATAACTTCCTGTCACATGAATTACTTCGAGTGCCTTAACACTAATCTACAAATACCTCAGATAGATAGCCTCTGCAACCTTCAGCCAGGAGGGTAAGACGTCCTACACAAATAACAAAAAAGAACGTAAGGGGAAGTCCATTTTACGATGATTTTGTGCACCTCTCAACTCCATTCCTTTCTGGAAGGTTGACTTCTTACTGCCGTTCTTCGCAATTCCCATATCGTTAGTCGCAATTCCCACAACTCTGTTGTCGTCGTACAAAACCTGTCAAAGACACAGTAGAAAGTAAGTACACTTGAGAACGAACGAATAATCTCTCTGAAGCGCCTCACCTCACTAGCAGAAAAGCCCGGGTATATTTCCACTCCAAGCTCCTCGGCTTTGGTCCCTAGCCAGCGAACGAGCTGACTTAAGCTGAACAAAAACGATTGCCTCGTAAGAATTATAGACATGTCTCTCTCACCTGATCACGTAATTCCCATGGTTTCTGAATGGAGATGGAAGCGGTATTGCATGCTTACTTGAGAGGAGCCAAAACTTATCTTCCGAGACTGGAATTTCCACGGGAGCCTAGACAAGCGTGACAGTCTTACAAAAGTTTAGAACACAAGCTTACTCCTTGTTTCTTCCAGTCCGGAAAGAGCTCACTCAAGCTGCGAGGCTCAAAGACATTTCCCGAGAGAATGTGAGATCCTGAAAAACCAACGCTGCGGTCACTCCTCAAAGAAAAGCAAGGAGAAAACAATGACAAGAGAATAGATATGTTACCCACTTCAGCTCCTTTCTCCACGACGCACACGGACAGCTCCCTCTTCTCGCGATCGCAGAGCTGCTTGAGCCGGATCGCCGCTGCCAGGCCGGCAGGACCAGCTCCAACGATCACGACGTCGTAATCCATGCTCTCCCTCTCCTGGAATCCATCCGAGCAAAACCTCCTGGCGCGCCATTCGAGCCGGGCTCCAGCGCCTGAAATTGACCGGGCAGCGAGCGCTTTGCTCCCCCGCCTGAGAAGAACCCTAGCCATGGAGGGAATGAAATTCATTCCGTGGCTTTGGACATTCTCTTTTACAAAAGAAGAAAAGAGATAAAGATTTAGCTTCGGTGCTGACATGTCAGAGGATCCGTGGCGCAATGGTAGCGCGTCTGACTCCAGATCAGAAGGTTGCGTGTTCGAGTCACGCCGGGTTCATCTCACTTTTTATGGCAACTTTTAAGCCCTAAAAATCTGTGAAGTTGCTAAAAAGTTGGAATTCACCATGTGTTGGTTTCATGGTGTAGTTGGTTATCACGTCAGTCTAACACACTGAAGGTCTCCAGTTCGAACCTGGATGAAGCCATTAATTTTTGCGTGATTTTTGGGTTTATCCACAAGCAATTGAAAAGCTTGGAAAGAATTTTGGGGTTTAGCTTCAAATCTTCGGCCACCAATCCAGCACAAGCAATTGAAAAGCTTGGATATTCCATGTGAGCGACAGACAATCTTTCCTCGATCTCGGCACATTGGCCTTGAAAAATTTCACCATAGATTTATATAAACTATGGAGTTCCTAAGCTTGAATCAACAACAAGGATGGCATTGCCACTCCAATTGAAGCTGCTTGTCACAATCATCGCCTTGTCAAGTACTTCGTCGATCCAAGCACTCCGAAGTGCTGATTACCGTGACGCTCTCTCCAAATCCATCCTCTTCTACGAGGGGATGCGATCGGGCAAGCTGCCATCCAAGCAAAGAGCCAAATGGAGAGGAGATTCGGCACTCAACGATGGACAAGCACAAAATGTATGCGTTTCTAAGATCCTGCTCGTTTTGTAACAAGCTCTACTTGATCTCTTTGGTTGTTCTCTTCAAGGTGGTTCTCCGAGGAGGCTACATCGACTCTGGAGACAACGTAAAGTTTGGATTCCCCATGGCATTCACGATCACCATGCTTTCATGGAGCGTGATAGAATCCGGCAAGCAGCTCAAGCGAGCGGGGGAGCTCCAAAACGCCCGCGACGCTATCCGCTGGGGGACGGACTATCTCCTCAAGGCCTACAAGCCCCCAAACACGCTCTGGGTCCAAGTGGGCGATCCCTACTCCGATCACCAGTGCTGGGAGAGGCCCGAGGACATGGACACGCCCCGGAACGCCTACAAGATCGATCAATCCGCGCCCGGATCCGACGTCGCGGCGGAGACAGCCGCAGCGCTCGCCGCCGCCTCGATCGTCTTCCAGTACGCGAAGCCGGAGTACTCGCGCCAATTGCTCAACGCGTCCAAACAGGCAAGAACCCTAAAAAGCAGAGCCCCTGCTTTCGCGCTAAGTTTAAAATTTTAAAATTCGGGACCCTTTTAGGTATTTGATTTCGCGGACAAGTTCCGGGGGAGCTATAGCGATGCTCTGGGCGGAGTTGTGAGCCCTTTCTATACGAGTTACTCGGGATATAGAGACGAGCTCTTGTGGGGCGCTGCTTGGCTCTACCGTGCCACCGGCGATGGGAAGTATTTGCAGTACATTGGCCTGCACCAAAACGAGCTGGGAGGCCCTTGGACATCCTACAATACTCTCAGCTGGGACAACAAGTATGCTGGTGTGGATGTCCTCTTGGCAAAGGTTGCTAAAAACCCTACAATCTTCTTCTATCTTCACTGGAAAATGCTGATGCTGATCTTATCATAAAGGTGTTTTTGGGAGGAAACCAGAACTGGCTTGCGGCTTACAAGGACCGTGCTGATGATTTCGTGTGCTCGGCCATGCCTGGACGAGCCAGGCTCACACCAGGTCCATCAAAATCAAAACTATCTACAATGGCAATTTGATGAGAATCGTATGTATCATAACAGGGGGGCTATTCTACCAAGGCACAAACAATCTCCAATACGCTACGAGCAACGCATTTCTGCTCATCACATATGCAGGATACCTGAGCAGCACTAAACAAAGTGTCAGGTGTGGAGGAGGTAGCAATTTCAAGCCAAATGAGCTGATCACTTTTGCGAAAAGACAGGTATAGTGTGTCTCTCAAAATTTTCCATGCTATGCAGGTTTATTTATATCATTATTATCGTTGCTATCATTCACACACAGATAGATTACATCCTAGGCAACAATCCGCGGAAAATGTCCTACATGGTTGGGTTCGGGGCAAAGTTCCCCCAGCACGTCCACCACCGCGGTTCATCGCTCCCCTCGATACACACACAGCCGCAACGCATCTCGTGCAAAGATGGATTCAACTGGCTGCACACTCCAAATCCCAATCCAAACTTGCTCATTGGCGCTGTAGTCGGAGGCCCTGATCAAAATGATAACTACGCAGACAATCGCGATGATTATTCGCAGTCCGAGCCTTCAACTTACATAAATGCTGGTCTTGTGGGTGCATTAGCCTACTTCACTTGAAAATAAAATTCATTGAAATGGCTAACACATAAATTAATATCCAAATCAAATCAAAATCAAAACCAATTGTTTTTCTAAATTAATGTATCTTGAGGATATACTTAAAAGGATATGCTCTCGGGATCTAGGGTTCTTGGGTAGCGCAGCATAATGTGGGGTGGGAAGCAAGGCTATGACTACGACATCGAGAGCGGCGGTTTGTATCCGGGGCTCTCCGCCGACGACAGCACGCTGCGCTGGGGCTTCATCCGCAAGGTCTATGGAATTCTCACCACGCAGATCGTGCTCACCGCCATCGTCGCCAGCGTCGTCGTCTTCTCGCGCCCGGTGGCGATGTTCTTCGTCACCACGCCCGGATTGCCGATCTTCCTGGCCTTCCTGCCTCTGATCCGTGAGTTTTCGGGAAATATTTCGCCAGGTTTTCGAGTGATTTGATTCCTGTGTTTCCACAGTTTTGTGCGTGATTCATCCCTATCGCCAGAGCCATCCCATCAATCTCATCTTGCTGGGGATCTTCACGGTGTGCCTGAGCTTGCCGGTTGGAATTTCGTGCGCGTTCACGCGAGGTAAGTTCTCGAAAGTTCTAGAACTTGGATTTCTCACAGCTTAGCTTAAAAAAATTGGCACAGGGGACATCGTGTTGGAAGCTTTGATCCTCACGGCCGCCATTGGATTTGGGCTCACTGCCTACACATACTGGGCTGCAAAGCGGGGCCAGGACTTTAGCTTCTTGGGGCCATTTCTCTTCGTGGCTGTGATCATCCTCATCTTGTGGGGACTCATTCAGGTACTTGGTCGATGCTTTTGATCGAATTTCTTTCCTTTCTCACGCGTTTTCCTTGCAGTCGTTCTTCCCGATTACCAGTCTCGGCACGAGCATCTACGCCGGGATTGGAGCGCTGATTTTCAGCGCCTATATCGTCTACGACACGGACAATCTCATCAAGCGCTTCGACTACGACGACTACGTCTGGGCTTCCATCGCACTCTACCTCGACATCCTCAATCTCTTCCTCGCATTGCTCCAGCTTCTCCGGCAAAGCGATTGAAAGCGTGTAGTGTAAATAATACTGTCTTTGAGAAAATGAAACTCTTTTAGTGAGCATATGCAAAGACGGGCAAATGAGGCAAAGGTTTTGTTTGAAGATGCGTTTGCCACAGCTCTCAAAGCTTGTGGGGCGTCCAAAGACATTGCAAGAGGCCGCGATCTCCATGGCCAAATTGTGGCCAGTGGTCACAAATCAAATGCGTACCTGGCCAATATGCTTGTTAACCTGTACGGCAAATGCGGGCAAGTGCGAGAAGCCAAGATGGTCTTTGACGGGATTGAAGCCCCAAACATATGTTCTTGGAATATCCTAGTCGCGGCATATGCCCAAAACGGGCATCTGTATCAGGCAAAGCATCTGTTTGATTCCATGCGTCGCAAAAACGTAGTGACATGGACGACGATGGTATCTGCGTTTTGTGAACACGGGTCTCTAGACAACGCAAGCGACTATTTATACCGAATGCCGGAGTGGCACGTCATAGCCTGGAACTCAATGCTCACAGTATATGCCAGGTGCGGGTATCTGGAACAGGCGATAAAACTGTTTGAGAATATGCCACACCCGAGCACTGCAACGTGGAATCTCATGATGCTCATATATTCCCAAGCCGGGCTCCCATTGGAGGCCAAATTCACGTTTGACAGGATGTCCGAACGAAACGTGGTGAGTTGGACGACCATCCTTGCCACCTGTGCGCAAAGGGGCTACGTGGACATCGCGGTGCAGCTCTTCCAGCGAATGCCAGCGCGGAATGTGGTGACGTGGAACTCTCTGGCCATTGGCTATGATCATTCCGGACACGTCAAACTCGTGGAGGAGATTTTCCTGCAGATGCCGCAGAGAACGACGGTGTCGTGGAACGCGCTCCTCCACGCGGTTTACCAGCATGGCTCTCCCTGCCACGTGGAAGTTATATTCGCTAGGATGCCTTCGTACGATTCTCTTGCTTGGAATACAATGTTGACGGCATATGCCCAAGGCGGGGATATGCTCTCGGCTACAATTTTGCTCCAGAAGATGCCACACAGGGATCTTGTGTCGAGCAACATTATCATCCAAGCTTTTGCATATAATGGATGTTTAGACGAATCTACTTCCGTATTTCTTACGATGCCACAAAAAAATGTCATTACTTGGAATACTATGATTACAGTTTATGCCCAAAGAGGGGATACTCAGAAAGCAAAGATACTCTTTGATCGGATGCCACAGTGGGATATTCTGTCGAGTAACGCAATGATACAGGTCTTGGCGCATGGAGGTCGGGTAACTGAGTCAAAGATAATCTTTGAGTCGATGCCCGATACCAATGTTGCGACTTGGACTTGCATGATTTCTGCAAATGCCGGAGTTGGGAATCTCGAGGAGATGTGGAGATTGTTTTCTCTTGTGGAGCAGAAAGATATTGTTTGCTGGAATGCTCTAGTTGGTGGACTTGTTACCGCAATGCAAACCTTCAAAGCAAAAGAGGCTTTGGATAGAATGCCGAGTTGGAATGTCGTGGCGTTGAACACTGTAATGTCAGCCTATGCCCGAGATGGGTATCTGACAGATGCGAAGAGAATGTTCCTCTCGATGCCTTTCCGCGATCACCTTGCATGGTGTGTTCTTCTGACTGGCTATGGCGAATGTGGTGAACTTTTAAACTCAATTCAAGCCTTCAATCGAATGCCCTTGCACGACGTAGTGTCATGGAACGTTATGATCTCAGTCTATGCCCTTAATGGGTGTCTTGTGCAAGCAAAGAGTATATTTGACAGAATTCTCGAACACAATCTTTCATCGTGCACTACAATGATGGTTGCATTTTCCGTAAATGGTCATGTAAGCTGCGCCCGTGAAGTGTTCGAAAATATGCCATGGAAAGACCAGCGGTCGTGGACGGCCTTGATCGCAGTACTTGCCAGAAACGGCCATATGCAAGATGCGATTAATGCGTTTCAGGCCATGAATCTCGAAGGGATTTTACCGGACGAGATCACTTTTATCGCAATCCTGAGCGGTTGCAGCCACGCGGGGAAGATCATTGGTGCTCGAGAACACTTCCTGTTGATCCAATCAGACTTTGGGATCGACCCAATTGTGGATCACTACAGGTGCATGGTTGATCTGCTTGGGCGGGCTAAGCGGCTGGAGGAGGCCGAGAATCTTATCCAGTCCATGCCATTTCTTCCAGATGCGGTGGCATGGACAACTCTGTTAAGCGCTTGCAGGCTCCATGGAGATGTGACTCGTGGCAAGCGAGCTGCAGAGCACATACTTCGCTTAAGCAAATCTCTTGCAATTTAGTCTCTGGATCGGGTTCTTTGCACATCCAAGTCATTGTCTATAGAAGGCAAGACAACTATCACCTCCCTTTGCTGCCAGCTTCTTTATGCGATGTAGGTCTCGATCACCTTGTTGGCAATGAATGTCATAAACCTGGCATTTTTTGCTGGAACTTGTGTCTATATTTTATGGTGTCACATTAGCTTGCCACCCGGCTAAGATTTGGAAGCGACACTTCATCTCAGACAATTCTCATTCACGTTCTCCCTAGTCAATTCTTCAGGAAAAGAACAAAAACTGTGACATTCTGGCCAACTGGTACATTATGATTCTATTGGCTTTGTTTGCTAGTCTTGGTTCAAAATAAATTCCGGCTTCGGGGCCCTGCATATGCATTCGCATTCCAACTCCTGCATTGCCTCTCAGCCAGCCATCCAGTCTCTACAAGATGAAGGCCGTCTTCGTGGCATTGGTGATTTCATGTCTTGTGGTTTGCAGTCTCGGGGATGATGGAGCTGCTGAGTTTGTTGTTCGTCAAGCAAACCAAGGTTCTTTTGATGCATTTGACATGGTGTTCTATGGGACTCTTGCCAACATCTCTTCTTTGCTTGTTGTTGTTGCTGCTGCACAAGATCGATGCAGGTGAGGAAGTTCGAATTGATCACATGTTTGTGCTACTATAGCCTTTCGTTTGGTGTTGCTCCAGGTGGTGGCTCCGTGGTATTCTGCCATGCCGAGGTGAAACTCTTGAATTTAACAGCAACAGTAATCTCACGTACTGAAACTTTTACGTAAATTTACAGTTGAAGCAGGTGCCATATACCAACTTGTGCTTTCTTTTCTATGGTTTTTCAGGCTTAACTGTTTTATTTTTCTTTCATGTTTCTGTCAGGACCGCCCACGCCACCAGGTTTCTCTGGCCAACTTTTCATGCTTCCACGATTTGTACCATGAACTTTTGATAGAGTTTTGCTGTTTACAGGATGCACGGAAAGTCCCAGTTCAAGCCCAGCACCAAGCCCATCTCCAAAGACGAGCCCAACACCAAGCCCTTCTCCAAAGACCAGCCCCGCTCCAAGTCCCAATCCTCCAAACACCAGCCCCGCTCTAAGCCCATCACCTCCAAAGACCAGCCCCGCTCCAAGCCCATTACCTCCAAAGACCTGCCTCGCTCCAAGCCCATCTCCTCCACAGACCAGCCCCGCTCCAAGTCCAACTCCGAAGGCCACTCCCAAGGCATCAGGTGCTACAGTATAGACTTTCCAATCTTTTCTGTGCAAACGCTCTTCTTTTCATTCGTTCAGGAGGGTAAGATCATCACGCTGCGACTCCATAAGCACACGGCATGACTCCACGGAATAAGCCAGTGCGTCTCAGGGGACCTTAATCTACGGCTCTCATAACTTTAAAGAGCTTTGTATTTGTATTGTGTTGTTATTGTCCTGAGAATAAAAGAATGCCTAGAACTTTGGTCTTTATGAGTCCACGGAATAAGCCAGTGCGTCTTAGGGGACCTTAATCTACGGCTCTCATGACTTTAAAAGAGCTTTGTATTGTATTGTCCAAAACTTGTACACTTGGTCTTCGGTGCAACCCATGCTCTTCAAGAGACCTGTCAACTGTTGAGAAGGAAGAGTGGAATCAGGGAAGCTCGCGTGTTGGAATAGATATCTCCGTAAAATGCTTACTTGTCCTTGTGATTTGTCTGGTGCTTTATCGCCGGAGATGTGGTTCATGAGGCCTGGAGGCCTGCACACCTGTTGGAAATTGTGTCAATGGGGAACTAAGTAACGAGCAGCGAATGAGCTTCAAACCACGATGAGCTTGCCGTCCGAGGGAGGTGGTAGTCCCTTCACCAGGATGTCTTTCGTGATGAAGCCGGATCCTCCTCCCCAGTAACGCGTTGGCTTATCGACAACATAGAAAACCTGTAAACATGCGTCAGTTTTCCTTGGAAACGCCAGAGTGGAAGTCTGATAGTCTCAAACAGGCCTTGAAGTTTGGATGCTTTTCAGCGAGTTTGTCGAGCTCGTTCTTGAGTAGAATGTCGTCCGGGGTCAAGTTGGCATAGATCAACGAGACCTGATCGGAGGAAATGCCGCAGCAACATTACGAGGACACATTTTTCCTGGAGACAAACCTGTGTTTTATCTTCTGGATTTTTTAAGATCTTGTTAAGCACTTGACACATCGGTGTGATCCCGGTACCTCCTGCAATCTAAACGACAGTAAAGTGACGCAGAGAACTCAAAGATATACCATCCCAATACGTGCTTTCATGTTGGCGCTGTATGGGAGCTTGCTGTGGATCTTCCTTGTAAAACTACAGACGGAAAGAAATGTAGTAAACTACACGTACCCTTTCATTTCCAAAGTGCCGAAGAGCGGCAAAATATTTGCTAAGTGCATGGTTGGTCCCGACCGCGTTCGGCCGGAATCCCGACTGCCACCGAACGCGGTCGAACAGCTCCGTTTGGTGATTCCATTCGGCGAAAAAAATGGTGATCGCGCTCACAAGGGCTAGATTTCTGATGCTGCTGCGGCTATTGCCATCGTCACTGCATTTCCACTGCTTTGCTGTTCTCCTGCTGCTATGGAGCAATCCATCCATCCACGAATGCCCAGCCTAGCAAGCTTACATCAAATCTGACCAAGAGGGCTATAGCCTATAGGAGCTGCGTCCATACCGAGCTCTACAGAGTGACACTCTCCAGTCAGTTGGCCTCCACTTTCGATTGAGCGTGGAGTAGCTTGCTGAGGCCTTGCAAATTGCCTAGTCCACATGCTTGAAATTTTTGCCCTAAAATGGAAATTGTGATTTCAGAGATTTGATTCTAGAGATTAGATTTGATCTAATGTTTTGTTTTGGTTTGGTTTGGTTTAATGCTTTGGTTTTCCTACTTTTATTAATGTGGTTTTACTAAAAATGTTATTTTTTTATAAAAAAAAATTGTGAACCGTTCGGCCACTTGGCATTTTTATAGCTGGTCGATAACCACGGTCGGCCAGTCAGCCAGTCGGCATTCGGAATAGTCGGGACTAACCTTGGGTAAGTCTACAAAAGAAATATATTTTCCATTGTCAACTGAGAAAGCATGCAAATGCTGAAAACAATACCTTGACAAGTAAATCAAGGTGACCATGAATAGATGGATCACTTATGGGTGTATATTTGTCAGCATGAAGCATGAGTTACAGTGATTCCAAGTGTAAGACAATTTTACATATGGTCTGATGATCACATTTGGCTTCCCATCCTTTTTTGTAGCCCTGCAAAGCAAAGAAAAATTCAAGTATCTTCATCATGAGGTTTGGAAGCTCTGTTACTTTGTCAAGAGGCATGAAGCAACTTGCACATCGTCATCCAAGGCAAACCTGGACAATAAAGAATATCAACGCATCATCTTGTTTTCCATTTTTTCTTTCATCTTGCCTGTAACGTCTCGTGTTGTGAGTCACAGGCTTTGCTTCTAAGAGTCAAAACTTTCGCCATTCGTTCGGATCCAATGCTGGACGGACAATCCACAACTAAAACCTAGAACTTTCGAGCAAAAAGCAAAGCATGAACCAAAATCCCCAGCGTCACTACGAGCGGTCTTTGCAGAATCCACAAGAAAAAGATGAGCAGCAGAATGCTACAAGAAAAGATCTCACCTTGCTCTTCCAGGTCGAGTAGATCGTCGCCACTGCTGCCAAAATCGCCGCTTCAGTCACTGTGGCAGCGGCTCCAGTCCACTGATTGGCACCAGATCTGGTGGCCTCAACTCCGCTGTGGAATCCACTCCACTGCTGGTATGTTCACATACGAGTTTGATTTGCAATTCAAGATCCCCGTGACTTACCCCACCACCACTCCAGAGCTAGAGCTCCCGGAACTGGACGGGAAGGTAGAGATGCTCAATCTCTAGCTCATTATCAAGGAAAATTTCTTACCTTCTTCTCTCTTGTATAGGGGTGGAAAGATTTGTTTGACAATCCATTTCAAACCTTTAAAACTGATTTTTCATTATTGTTTGATTTGTTTAATTTGCTCTATGCTAGTTCTAGATTTGGTGTTGCATATGTGCTTTGCTTGTGGCTAGCAGCAAAAGTTCCTCACCTTGTTGAAATTGGGATGATTATTCATAAGGATAATGTTAGGTGTTGTAATCTACTATTTTTTTTAAAAAAATTATTACTAAAGTAGTGTAAAAGTAAAAATTATCCAGTATTTAAATTATTTTTAAATGTAAATTATTTAAAAATATTTTAATAACCAGGAAAAAAATTAATTGATATATGATATATTTATCATTAGACCATCATAAATAAAAATAATCAATTATTGGTTGTGGCTAAATATTTAATTTTTTGATTACTTTAAATATAAATTGTAAAAAATAAAATTATTTTTACCTATTCTACAAATCTTAATAGTTATTAAAAGTATTTTATTATTTTTAGATACTCCAAAGCATGTAATTCATTTTCAAATGAGTTTGGATAAATTATTTATTGTAGTGAGAAGACTGATCTCCTCCAAATTTAAAGTTGTTCAAATTAAGATATTTATAAAATAATAAAAATACAATATTATTTATTATTTATATTTTCTTTACAAATTTAAATATTTACAAATTAATTTTATTATTAAAATAATATTCTAAGTGTGAGTGCATGGAATCACATAATTATAAAATTAATAAAAATTTAAAGACTGTTCTCTCATTATGAGAACTATATAAAAATATATAATTAAAAATAAATAAACAAAAGTAATTTATTATTATCATTAAAACTATTTTTGTGGATAGTAAGTATGCAGTTTGAAATTTAATAAAAATAAATCATTTAATCATTTGTTCATTTTGATCATTTTAAAGATTTAAGAGAAAACATTTAATGTGGTTGCTAGGTATTGCAAAGAAAAATTCCTACTTAAAAATTATTAAATATGAAAATATTTATAATTATATGAATATATCATTTTAATTAATGTTTAGTTGTATTTAATATTCGTGTTTATAAGAGAGAGTTTTAAATAAATATGTTTTAAATGTGTTCTTCTTTACCTAATTTTATGTCAATTCTTCAAAGTATTGTAATGGAAATTAAGTGTATGAACTAACTACAGGAATATTCCAAGAATTATTTATAGCTTAAAGTTAGCCTAAGGTTTGCTCTTTGTGCATTTCATTAGTAACATTCTTTTCAAGATGGAAATGAGCAAAATATACATCTTGATGAGGTGTATAGCTTTAGTAATGATGGCCATGACAAAAAGGAAGAGACTCTTGATGATGTCATTGTGTAGCAAGAATGCTAAACTATTAAAGCTCAAAGCAAGATTTCATCAATTTCATTAAGGTTATTTCATATTGATGCTTAAAGGTTGAATCAATCTTATGTTCATGATTACCATTGGTATATTAAACATGCCAAGGATTATGGTATTATGGAATGGAAGTCGCCATTAGATATTTATGATAACAAAAAGGTTGATTGTTAGTTAGACTAATGGAAAAGTTGTTAATCATACAATTCTTGTAAAGACAAGGTGAAGATTGTTTTTTTATGACGAAGCTTACACATGCTTCTTTGTGGGGTGGAAGAACTACATCAAAGTTAATCTAAAATCAATTTTTTGGAGTGATTTGACAAAA